CACACCACACCTACCCCTGCTACACAGCTGCCCCCACATCACACCACACCTACCCCTGCTACACAGCTGCCCCCACACCACACCACACCTACCCCTGCTACACAGACACCTCCACATTACACCCAAACTGTTCAGCAGCTCATCCCTAATAGGGAAGCAGCACAACAAAGCAGAGAAGCGTCACTTCAGTCTTTTAGTTCTTTTCAATTCAGTGGTTTCTCTTGGAAATGGACATGTTTTTTATTATGCAGTAAAAAAAGGACGCGCTCCTCTGTGTCATGTTGTGAGCTGTGCTCCTCCCCTCTCCCTCCATGTGTCAGTCCCTCGATTTGGAGGCTGTTGAGTCAGTTTCTCTTCCTCATTTAGTTAAACTCCTCCACCTCTGGCCCCTTCGGAGACTCGTGGCATGTTCAGAAGGCAACAGTGATGAAGCAGCTCATGACCTTAAGCCCAGACCCACATCTCCCACTCGGCCTGCACACAACAACATAACAATAAACCTGTTGTTGTTTTGTAGATTTGATTTTTTTAAATCTACTACTATCTAATCTAGGTTTCTTAATTACGTTTTATAAAAAACACATGCAATGCACATGTGCACTTCTTGCAGAATGAGCTGATCTCAGTACCATTCTGTGGAAAGCTGCCCATCTGGAGAATGGGTTTTGTGCAGTGACACCAGGAGGAGAATGAGGAAACACTAAAACAAAGCGAGTCATCTTCCTCCTGACTCTGCAAACCCTTCCTGTTTGTGCTTGTGCTCAGCCTTTCGTCTGCAAGATTTGATTTGGTTGGTTGTATCAGATTCAGTAACCTTTTTCTAAATACTACTTATAGAGTATTTGTGCACACTGTGATGCAGTGTTATTATAGTAAATGTTTCCTTAAATTATTGTTTTACTGTAAAAAAACTGCCGTCCATCCATTTTCATTCGCCGCTGTTTCCAGGACAGTGTTGTCCTGTCAAGCAACAGGTCCAAAGCAGGGTACACCATGGATGGGAAGCCAGTCAGTTGCAGGGCACACACCTACACAGGCAGGCACACACTCAGAACAGGTACAGTTTTTTACAGAAGCCAATTAATCTATATTATCAGCAGGGGAAAATCTGGGAGAAAAACAAGTGTCTGGAGGAAAGCCAAGCGAACACAGGGAGAACATACAAACTCCATGCAGGCAGCACCCCAGGAATTGAGCCCAGGGCCCCAGTGCCACGAGGCTGCAATGCTGACCACTGCGCCAGCCGTATGCAAAAAATGGAAAATTTCCACAACAAATGTTTCAAGTTCTGCCTTCTCCAAGGGTTAAAGTTTTTTCATTGAGTCATTTCATTAAATTCATCGAGTTTTTTTCCATTTATATATATATATTGGCACCATATCATGAAAGTAAAAATATTTCACTGTATGAAATTAAACATAGTGTCTTTTTCTTTAGAACGTCAAAATCTGTGTGTTTCTGCTACAGTATCTAGCATGTACTGTTGTAGCATATTTCACCCACATCCTTCGTTACCACGAGTAGGCCACAATATGCATAATCCCTGCTTAACATTACTGGCATCTTCTTTATTGTGAGCTAAGCATTGCTCATGGTTTCACTTTGAGTACTCTTTCCTATTTTAACAGAAAGGCCAGTGGTAGATATACTGTAGGGCCCACTTTGTGATCCAGTATTAAAAACAGCCGATGTGAAGGCTGCAAACTAATTAAGCCCTCCAGCTTGCTAATTAGTCGCTCAACATGTACAGACTGAGAAAGAAAATAGGAGAAGTGAGACTGGCTCCCTTTTTATTTTAGACTTGGCTGGGCTTCATGCTACAAGAGTTCCGCAGGTGTCAAAAACCGAAACAGAATTATCTGTCATGCCGCCTGGCTGGAGCCTGTAAATTAGCTTTCAGTTTCAGGACTAAGCATTGCTAATTATCGCAGCTAGATTATATGACAGTCTCATCTGCAATTAAATTTTAAAATGATACCTGTCAAACTCAGACATGGCTGCGTTTTTCTGAAGGGCAGTTTCAGTGCCTCGTTTTGATGTTTTTGGACAGCAGTAACATTCAACAGTTTTCTGGCGCGGTTTTGAAACACCAGGCCACACAGGGGGGAGACTTCCACTTCCTACAGCACGGTCACTCACCACATCAGGAACAGCGCTGGCTGTTACAAAAGAACACAAGAAGAATTTGGAACAGGAGGAGGCCACTCTGCCCAGTCCGCGCATGTGCTCGTTAGCAGATGAATGATTCAGGATCGCATCCAGCCATTTCCTGAAAGACGTCAGGGCATCAGCTTCAGAAGCCTGCCTGGGATGGTTAGGATCTCGCTCTTCCGACAATATGAAGCTGGCAGAGTGTTAATCAGCAACCGAGCTGCTCTTGTAGAACATCCTTATCTTGACTATTTGCTTGCGACAACAGGCGGTCTCACAGCAAACCACCTTCGATAAAGACAACAAAAAAATAATTTCCGACAGATTTTGTCAAGGGCTCTGAAACAGAAGCTCTATTTACAGTGCAGGGGAAGTGAAACCCAGTTAATATAAAATACATAGCAGCAACCCTCAACTTTAATATCAATGCCCTAGAGGTATTTGAGTTTAACACTTTGTTAGGGCAACATTAACAGACATGTACTATCACCCAACAGATACCAAAAAATAAACACAAAGATACAAATTTCACCATCATTTTCTCAAACATGGGTACTTACATTGGTTTGACTTTGAGTGATGGTTTATCGGCATCTGATAACTGTGCAGAGTGAAAATAAAAAAAACATTATATTTATGCTGTGTCACCCAGAGGCTGGCTTGTTGACGTGTGACAGCAGATACATGAGTGTCACCTTTTCTTTTATATCCACCTTCCTCCTACTAGCAGACAGACACACTGACCCATGCTGGCTCTGAGTATCCTAGGGCAAAGGGCAAAGGGCAAAGGGCAAAGGGGCTGTTTTCCTCGGCTTTCTTAGCAATATTAACATCACTGTGGTCTGCACACTGACAGGTTCTGTCTCTGGAGCTCGAACAACCATTTGGCCAGGGCATCAGCTTCAACAACATGGCTGGGTTACATGTTCCAGAGTACACTTCCACTTGTGTCCTCAGATTTGTGTTTCACTGCTCATTCTGGAGAAGTAGAGCGAGATGATTTTGCCTTCGAGCATTTTGTATACTGGTATCAGGTTCTCTCGTAGACTTTTCTGATCAAAAGTAAAAAGGTTCAGTTCCTTCAGCCTGTCAGTGTAGCTCATTCCCTTAAGCCCCCGAATGTGTCTGGTTGCTCTTCTCTGGGCTGATTCCAGAACAGCAATATCTCCTCTATAACATGATGACCAAAGTTGCAGTCAACATTCTAAATGAGGCTTTATTAGTGTGTTGTACAATTCTAACATATTATATCACGCAAGACCTCTTCACATTTCCTTTAATTTCAGAAACTCGCAGCGGTAGAGCAGCCAGTCTCACCGATTACCATATTAACATTCAAATATACTGTTTCCTTCCTGGCTGTTCATTGCTTCCTTTTTTATGCTGAACTTGGGAAAGTTTTGTAGTTTTTGAGAAGTTACAAAGCAATGAGGAGATTAACACCAGTTCATTCAGTGGCATGAACAGGAGTCCACTCTGTAACCAGCAAGTCTGTTGCTTCTTCTTTGCAGATCATCTATGACGAAGGGCCTCTGTACATTTTTGCAAAAAACGAAGACATTCGAAGACAGTGGATCCACAAGCTGAAGCATGGTAAATGGCAAGTTTACAGACCATTAGATCAATGGCCTAGGGCATATATACACAAGCTGGCACTAGACCACTATTTCCCAGCACTCATCACCCGACACCCCCTCCAGCATCCTCAGATTTCTATTAATGTTCCACATCGGACAGCTTCAAGTCTATGCATTAGAAAATAGTATGCAGTAAACACCCCTTCATGTAAAGACATATCATTGACCTGTGCTGGTAAAAGACAGCAACAGTAATTGCAAAAGCCCTGAAACTGAAAACAGAAAACAGCCACAGCTCATTTATTAACGTGCTCCTCCCCCAGGCGTCATAAAACAAGAGCACATTGATCCAGTGATTCAAGAGGCACTTCTTCCATTTTGTGTTTTCGCAGTGGTCAGGTTCAACAAAGACCTTGCACAGAAGTACCACCCCTGCTTCTGGGCGGACGGCATCTGGCTGTGCTGTCAGCAAGAGGTCAAGCAGGCCCTGGGGTGCCGCGTTATAGAGACCACTAAGAATGGAGGTCAGTACAACCCGACTACACAGGAAACAGCCCAGGGTTACCCAATCTGATGACCGCAGGTCATCATTTAGTAAACCACTGGTTTCTTACAGTACAATACAGCTAAACAGCCTTAACCTTCAGTAAAGCACAGAAAGTGGAGAGTGGTTGTGTGCTGTCTTGTTGAGAAACCAATGTATCTCTTGGGTACCACTTACCCAGCTTGAAACAACAATAATAAATCCATTTAAATAGATTCACAGTTTGGACCTTACAGCTGCCCCAAGTGCTAAGAAAAGCAGAAGACCAAAGAAGTGGTGTGTGTAATATAAAAGGAAAAACAGTGGTAGATGCCTTACAGGCTGCTGAATACAGCTCTGGCCATCTGTACTGCCACACTGAACTACATTTAAGTGAGATGGATGACAGGAGATTCCCGACAAATAAGTGTAGTGTAACAAATGCTTTATTATTAATATTACGGCTTAAAATGTATTGAATTATGTGGTCAATGGGTATATCTGCAATTGAACAAACGTTAGGGAAGCACCTCCGTTTCCGTTTCTGGAATTGCTGTGTGAGCTGAAAACTATCACATGTCTCCATGTCATCTACCACCTTGCCCACATTCCTTCCAGGATTCAAAGGATCTCGACGGAAATCCCGGAAGCCACTGCCTCCTACACCTGTGGAAAGGGAGGTAATGTCCTCAGTGTTGTTTTATTTCCAAAACCACAAGCGTGGTAGCTGATTCTAAGGATGAGGCACCATTTTGACCTCACTTGGCATGCATGTCCATTTCAATGTGTTTCTAAAATGAGCAAGGAAAGAAAAATGCATTGGTTAAAGAGTAAGTGCATTCACCAGACCTGACATAATATCGATATTTATTTAATTCCACCGTTTCTTCTGCCAGAGAATTCAAGTACTTGAACCAAAATGTGCATTCAAGGTTTTACTGAATAAAACATGAGTGACTGAAACACTAGGACAAAGCAAAGTGGAAACTAACGAGGAGCCCTCGCTTGTGCAACAAGCACAGTTAGGCATCACTGAGCCCTGTTTCTTCTGCAGAGGGAGCTTTCTTCACACTGACTGGGTAAAACTCACTCTCTCTGTGCTCTTGACAACAGAGTAGGTTTAGCTTTCAGTGAGGTGTGGATGCCGCGCTAGGACACAGCCCAAACTTAGAAACGGTCTCGGGCCTTCAAGACCTCAATGCCTGCTATGTTCTCTCCCTCCCTCCCCGGGGAAAGGTCTCCAGGCCTCTCCCCCCACAGCCGCCCCCCCAGCCCCAGCCCCCGCCCCCCGAACCGACCTGCCTGACGGTGGTGGCGGAGTACGATTACACGCCCATGACCGAGCAGGACCTGCAGCTGCGGAAGAACGAGGAGTACACCATTCTGGACAGGAGCGACACACACTGGTGGAGAGCGAGGGACAAATACGGGTAGGAGGAAGGGCAGGATGGTTGCACTGTGGGCAGGCGGCACATGTGCCCTGACCACAGGAAGGGCAAGCTGGGGAGGGGGGGGACAGGGCTGCTGGGAAGGCATGAGTTTCATCTGCAGATATGCAATGCCACCAAAACCATTCATCTGACGCTAATAAGAGATGGAAGAACAGAATTTATTCTCAGCTTTTGGATTTTATTTAATCAGCCATGACATGCCCTTTGACCTGCAGGAAGACACAGATGACAGAAGAGATAATAAACCACAGGCAGAGGGAGCAGTTATGGTTGGGGGGAGGCACAGGAACAGGCAGAGTGATGACAGGGTTCTTTCAGGAGGGTGAAAAGCTGTGACAAGACACCAACAAACTAAGATTAAAACTCAGTAATTAGAAGCTCCCAACTGGGAGTTAGAAAATCTTGTGTTCAGCTAAAATGTTTCACTGTTTTAAACTTTAAAGACAATTGGTCTCTGTTTAATATGCACCCGTTTCATATTAGTGTTGAATTTCCAACCAGTGACTTGTAAAACCACATGCTGCCTTGGAAAAAAAAAGCATTTTGGAATGAATCCTAAAAAAGGAGACAGGTTTGAATTAAACGCTGTTTAAAAGCAGTTTATGAATCAAGCTTTTAGTAATGTGGCCAAGGGGAAAAAACTCAATTAGCAAATACAGTAGTGGTGGCAGCTGGAGGAAGAGTAATTAGGACATGGTACTGGGCTTCGCTCTTGCAGAGATAATGTCGAATCCCCTCAATCACCAGAGGACACTTACACTGCTTTCTCAATGCACGAATGAACTGGTCTTCACAGTCTATTAACATGAAGATAGGGAAGCCCTAAAGGAGCATCATGAAATTATGGTTGTAGCAGTTGTTCTCCTCTTAAAAAGAACATAGAAAAAAATTGAATCAGGGACAGAACAATTTCAAACTTGATATTGATATTAACTCACTGTATAGTACCAACTCCACTTATAAGGCTTTCAAATGTCAGACTGGCCAGACTACAGTACATTGTTCGTCTAAACATGGAAGAACACTGCTGCAATTTCTAGGCTTCTTTTTTGCAAAGATGAAAATATTTATAGTTTTAAAAATATTTAATGTCTATATGTATAGACATATATAACATATCAATAAGGACATCATTTGCTTGAGGACACGGTCACTTAAAAAGAGACATCCCTTATCTGCATAACAGGAGAGGTATAGTCTCTGCTGGTGTAATGACAAAAGTTTTCATTTTATTCCTTCTGTTTTCTCTCAACAGAAAAGAAGGCTACCTACCCAGCAACTATGTGATTGAGGCTGGGAATGAGCTTGAAAGGTTTGAGTAAGTAAGACGTCTCTGACACAGACACGCACATACTCCCACCAGGGCCAAGGAAACCGGAGCACCTGGAGGAAACCCATGTGAACATGGGGAGAACATGCAAACTCCACACAGACAGCACCCCAGCCCTGCAAGGCAGCAACGCTGACCACTGCGCAACCATGCCACCCTGTTGGTAGACATTCTGATTATTATTCAAACCTATTCTAACTATTCAAAAGTTAAAAAAAACAAAGGGAAGACAATGTTGAATCCTCACACATGGGGATTCCTGCCGCGGTGGTTAACTGCTCGATGGGCTGGTGGAAGGGTATTCCCTCTGGCTCAGAGGAACCACAGTGTGGGCAACAGCGAGGGGCTCATGTGTTTTCATCTGCCTGATTTCCAGCTGGTACTGCAAGAACACGAACCGCAGCCAGGCGGAGAACCTTCTGAAGGCAGAGGTTAGTGCTGACACAGGTGGAGACTTGTCTCCTTCTGCATTCAAAGCCATGCAATATGAGCATTCAAAGCCTTCTGTTACCACACTGCACCAGTTGTAGAAGGATCCATGAAAGTCAACAACATAAATTATAGTGATATATTTTAAATGATACAAATTAAATTAAAATAGAAAACTATAGTGATATATGACATCTTTTCAAAGTTCATATACAGGTACCTAATTTTAATTTTGTAATTTTGTGTTCAGATATATGATTTTTGCACAAAATAAAATACTATTAAAAGTGTAAAATTGATTTTAAGAAGGTCTTTTAATGAGGTTGATTATCATTTTACAACAGATGTTAAAAATACTCGATTTATACGAGTGCATTCAATAGGAATATGTGGTCTTCTCCTGCAGAATTTCCAGAAGGCAGCAAGAAGCCAAGAGCTCCAGATCCCTAAGCAATATTCTAAGAGTCAGACACACAGACCATAGATGTTGGAATAAGACTATTTAATTCAGTATGTGATTGAATCAGAAAATCATGCAACTGCTGGTCAGCACACAGTTCAATGTTTGTAAGAACAGCTCAGATTTAAGACAAAACGAGCAACAAAAGTGAAAGCAAACATCTGTCTGTTTTGCCTTGTCTTTTCATAGAATAAGGATGGAGGCTTTTTGGTGCGAGACTCTAGTAAAGCTGGAAAATACACTGTCTCTGTGTTCACAAAATGTCCAGGGTAAGTCAAGGAAGGTTACTCTTTTATTAAGCACATTAATTAATTAGCTGTATTAGGAGACACATTTTTGGGCATTCAAGGTTTTAGCTTTCAGTAGGGCTGTGCAGTTCAGTATATAGAGTGTATACAGTATATATAATAGGTGTCATTTATATCTCTGTATAAAACCATAAATAGAGCAGATGTAACAAGAGGAATACACAATGCTTAGTTAGCAGATTTTCCATCACTAAAACCTAACCAAGGCAGAAGCATCTTAAGTCTGACAGATGTAAGCACACAGATACACAGGATTCACTGGACCCAGGACAGAGTTCAGAAGCAAGAGCAGAACATGATTCATCTAAGGAAAAGAGATGGAAATATATTACATGCTAAACCCATGACTTGTTTACTGGTCTATAACCAGAGCACATAGTCTGAAGAAGTCTGAAACTAACTGCTTTAAGCCTTAATCTGCTCCTTTCCACACTACTGTCAACTCCCAGTTCACTGGTACCTGCTGAAATGTGGACTTTTGTTTCCCCAGGGACGCCTCCGGAAGCTGCAGGCACTATAACATCTGCACAACAGCGTCAGGCCAGTTTTACCTGGCAGAAAAACACAACTTCAACACCATCCCAGAGCTCATCAACTACCACCAGCACAACGCTGCAGGTGCACCACTGGGGGCGCCTGGGGTCCTTCCCTTTAGAACTGGGGGTCCTCAGCTCACAAGGAAGTAGGGCTTTTGATGAAAGATAGCTCATAGCCCTTTTGTCAAGCACATGGTGACGTTACCTGAAACCTCACAGAAGGGGCCAGTTTTGTATTTACGAAGAAAGGAAGCTGATGGCTTTGGCACGGGTGCACTCAGTATTCACATAAAGACATAATGACACATAATGATCCCATATCTCACAATAAGAGACTTATTTGGGCCTGTCTGAAGGGGTAGGGCAACAGAGACTATTTGTCATAACAAAAATTATATTATGAAACTCCTATAGGACTCCTCTTATTCTGTGATTCTCTGACCATTACATTTCCCCATCAACAAGGGCAATCAAAATTGAAAAAACTCCTGAAAATGAGCCCAGTTGAGAATCACAGCTGATGTCGTTGTTCTGTCTTGTGTGCGGTTTCCCCAGGCATGGTGAGCAGACTGAAGCATGTAGTTTCTGCCCGAGCTCACAGCGCTCCCTCCACCGCGGGGCTGGGATACGGTGAGCATGATCCCCGCACTCCGCAAACCCCTACGACATGACAGGACACGATTTTCAGAAGGCTGTTGATGAGGTTCCTCACGATAGTCCCTCACTAATTCTCTAAATGGACTTGCTTCAGACAGGACACGGAGAGTAAAGAATGCTCAAGCTGAGCTGATGTAATCACTGGAGTACCTCAGGGATCTGTATTAGGACCACTGCTCTTCCAAATCGATATCAATGATCTACATTTCCGGTACAGTTAGTAAACTAGTTTAGTCTGCAGATAATCCCAAATTAGGAGGATTAGCAAACACTACAGGCACAGTCAAAGAAAAAAAGTAATAAGAATCTATTATTTTCATTTTGTAATGTCTTTGGAGAGGCAATAAAAAAGAAGACAGAACATGATAGTGCTGAGTGTTGTAGTATATATATAGTTGAAAACGTTAACTTAAATGAAGACATTAAGATACCACCATACTTATTTTTCTCTGGTGAGAAAACAACAGAAAGAAGGAGACACATTGTACTTTTAGGAAATATTTTTAAGTGGCAGAACAAAAAGACGCTGGACTTTGTGACTGCCTCAGTGAAAAAGTCATGTGCACTGTCACTAACAGCTGGTTGGCCCGGATGTCACACTCCCAGCCTCACGGCTGTGGCCCTTGCGTTTGCTACAGGGATCTGGGAGATTGACCCTCGTCACCTGACCTTCATCAAGGAGCTGGGCAATGGACAGTTCGGGGTGGTCAAGTACGGGAAATGGCAAGGCCAGCATGATGTGGCCATTAAGATGATCAAGGAAGGTTCCATGTCTGAGGATGATTTCATCGAAGAAGCCAAAATCATGATGTAAGTGTGCACCTCCACTGAGATTACAACAGACTAGAGGCTCCTGACTTGTTGATCCTGGAAAGACACATTCTAAAAGCTATCTTTTGTCCGGCAATAACAAATAGATAAAGCCACTGTTTTTGTTAAAAAGCCAGTTTTTAATAGTTTAACAGTAAAAAGACAGAGAACTAATTATTTCTACATTAACTACGGTTGGAAATACAAAGCATTAAAATACTAGAGGTTATTATCAAATAGCACAGGGGATTTTAAAAGCTCACTTTTGGGGAAGTTACTGTATGTTCATGTTTTTTGTAATGGCACAAATGAAGATACGATCACAATGGAGTTTAGTGCCATTACTGTGTTTTTCCTCTATGTCTTTAACAAGCATGCAGGTCCTGTTCTTGGCTTCATTGTTTCTCACACAGTAAAACAATACTGAGAGAATTTCCTGTTCATGAGCACCTGCCGGAAGAGCACTCTGCTGGGCATGTGGGAAAGTAGAGTTCCTTCTGCAACTCTACTGTACAGAAATTCTCCCTGTACAGAAAAAGTGCACTGTTCCTCTCCGAAGGGTGCTCCATTGTGAGAGCACCACTGTGTTAGTGCTGCAATATAAAGTGCATAACAAAAGCAATAAAACTCCAACATTTTGCACATCCTGGTGAAAGTCTGCTAGTATCTCCTGTGTCCTATTCTTGATTATGTAAATATGTTACCAAGGCAATGCTTTGCATTTTGCATGTTATGTTACCAACACATGCTGTTGTTGTGAAGGCCTGATAAGAAAAAGATCATGTGTTCAGCGCTGAGAGCTCTTGAAAAATGTAATGGGTTTTAGACTTGCCTCTTCTGTGCTGACCTAGGAAGCTTCGACACCAAAATCTGGTGCAGCTGTATGGCGTCTGCACCAAGCAGAGACCCATCTACATTGTGACGGAGTTCCTCGCCAATGGCTGCCTGCTCAGCTACCTCCGCGAGACCCTCAAGTTGCCCAACCAGGTGCAGCTCATGGAGATGTGCAAAGACGTCACCGAAGGAATGGCCTACCTGGAGTCCCAGCAGTTCATCCACAGGGACCTGGTCAGGACTGGCTCTGTCCTCTTTTCTGATAGCAGACTCCCTCACACAGTCCTTGCACACAGTTTTATGTCAATGTAAACTACAATGTGTCATATTTTTATCCCAGTGTCTCAGCATTTCTGGTAACATAAGTACAATTTACAGCTTTCATATTTTTACTAAATCTAGCTTCGTTTCAGTCGAAATTCTCCACTGCATTATAGCTCATAATAATAACAACTGCATAATGGCTCTTTGGCCCTGTGTGGGTTTAAATGTTCTCACTGTGCTCGTGTTTGTTTCACTGGGGTGTTCGGTTTCCTCCAAGAGACGTGCAGTTTGGCTGGAGCTGGAGCGTCCTGAGTGTGTCCTGCAATGGGCTGCAGTACCCTACAGGGTCTCGTCTTGCCTTGTGCTCTTGTGCTCTGGGCTCCTGGCTGTCATGCCCTGAACAGGAGTAATTTGACTGTCCAATAATGGAATGATGAAAAAATGGGGGAAGCTCCGAAGATGAGGCTTTTATTGACATCTTCATTTCATTTGTTTGTCTCAGGCTGCCAGAAATTGTCTGGTGGATAGTAACGGGACAGTCAAGGTCACCGATTTTGGACTGTCAAGGTAAGGGGATCTGATACCGCTAATCAATACCGATTTCCGAGCTGCACTAGCGCAGCACTTCTCACAGCCTTGAGCAGTTCGATGCCTGAGGGCTTTGCCTATTGAGCTTAATTGAACGCGAAGAAGCATAACTGAGTGAACTGCAGAGTCTAATTAACACGTTCCGGAATGAAAGCCTCATCTCCTGAAGATTCTCATGCTGGGATAATCCAAGCCCGTCTGAAGCTGCTGTTGATCCCACTGTGTCCCCGCCTCTCCCAGGTACGTCCTGGACGACGAGTACACCAGCTCCTCCAGCAAGTTCCCTGTGCGCTGGTGCCCCCCTGAGGTCCTTCTGTACTGCAAGTTCAGCAGCAAGTCCGACATCTGGGCCTTCGGTCAGTCTTCACCCCCCGCGCTCTCGTCTCCGTCTGTCTGAAGACCACCATAGTCCTCACCGAACAGACACAGGACACACTTTCAGTTCTCTTATTTAGGGGAAAGGGAGGATGGAAATACTACATTTCTCCACATTGCAGTTTCGATTTAGATGATAGATAAGACTTTATTGATTCCGGAGGGAAATTGATGTGTTACAGCAGTCCACCCCAGGACAAGCAAAAAAAAACAGACATCAGAATAAACGAAAAATTACAATGCGTACAGCAATACAAAATTAATACATAATAAAATAAATACATAGGTGTGTGCAAAATATGCTCATAGTCACTGTAAAAACAATAAAATATGTGCAAAGTGTGCATAGGTATATACAGATTGAGTGTCCAAAAATATTTGGAATGTTGTTGTTTTAGTAATTGTTTGTCTTTTGTTATTGATTCACAAAGCCCTTTTTCTGTGTACGTAAACAGGGGTCCTGATGTGGGAGATCTATACTCTAGGGAAGATGCCCTATGAACGCCTCAACAATACAGAAATTGTGGAACAGGTGTCAGGGGGGGTGCGGCTCTATCGCCCCCAGCTGGCCAATGAAAGGGTTTACAGCATCATGTCTAGCTGCTGGCATGAGGTGAGGTTAATAAATGTACATACGATCAGCGTCGTGTACAGTTAATGTCAAAAAGTAATCCATTTAATTTACAACTTGTGTAAGGGATTGATTTCTGAAATCAATAAGAGCTTGAGAAAACTTGGGGCGTTTTTAAATTGCTCCGTTGTCTTTATCATTGCACTGGCGCTCCATCTAGTGGCCACACGTGCAATTAACACCAAAACCCAATTATTTGTGACCGTCTCCAACTAAATTGATTCATTGTGCCTACCTTTTTCCGTTTTACATGAATAATTTTGTTTTGTTTTTTTTTTTTTAGAAACCAGAGGAGAGACCATCATTTCAGGGACTTCTTTTATATATTCAGGAAATTCTATATGAGCTTCAGGAGCTTTGAATATGTTATTTTTTTCTGGAGTACTTCCTTTTAGATCCTGCGCGCTGTTAAAATACAATAAAACAATCTTCAACAGAGCGAAGACACATTTCTGAAAGTTGGTTCCAGTAACAGACCACAGAAACGTGTCTAAGTACAATGAATTTACAGTAATGTTAATAATTAACAAAGTCCTGAAATGTCAGAGAACCCAAACAATGTGAAGAAAACTTTGAATTACATTATTCGGGCACCTTTAAGGAAGTTTGCAGGCGAGCAAGTGTGTGGCAAACCTGTTTGGGAACCTGTTTTCTTCTGCTCCGAATCCTGAGAGAAAGCTAATTTGTACAATTTGCAGCCACCAACATTATGTGCATCTTTTTGTTGTAAGAACACTTATAAAATTGTTCAGCCACAGTTCCTTTTTCATGTTTACGTCGTGACATGAAAAAGGATACAGAGTGTTGATAGTGCTAATTGATCAGGGTAAAAGCACAAAGCCTTGTGTTGTTGCTGTTGAATAATTCGATTCAAATGCCACGCATGTCTATTTCTCCCACTGTCACCTTCAAAAGGACACAGCATGCTCCTAATTGCCTCAGGACAGGATCAGGGGTTTCAGCTCTAGGGAGTCCTGTGTCTGCTGGGTTTCACTTAGATGTCTTTATCGGGCCCTTTTCTTGAAGTGGCTGAAAAGCTTCTAAAATCCAATGGAATTCAGCTTTAGATGTTAAATGTGCTCTAAAAATTATTATATAAATAAATTATTTGAGTTATGTGTGGGGTTTTATTTCCTTCAGGTGTTTACTTGGTTGCTCTGAGTTAAGATATCTTGTGCAAACAGAACCATGTTTTAAGCGAAGCACTTCATTAATAACTGCAATGAGTTACTATGAATTTTAAATCTATTAGTCTATTATGTGTATTAGCCTATATAGTTCAGGTGGGTAGCTGCGTCAGCATGCTCAGGCTGCAAAGGAACAAGTAATACTGTGTTCATTCCATGCTGAAAAGGGAAGTAAGAAAACACAACATTTCAGCCTTGGAGCCTTCTTCAGGTGTGTTTATTAGCCTATATTATAATAATATATTATAATGATATTATTAAGTGTAATAAATAAAATATATTAGTATATTAATTATTAGTTTCAACAAGGAGACTATACTGTTAAAAGGTGCCATCCTTTAGATGAGACATAAAACCAAGATCTGTAGCATCTCTTGCAATGAGCAGGGGTGTTACCCTGGCATCCTAGACAAATTTCCCCCTGGCCTTTACCAATCATGGCTCTTTTCTCCATATTATTGAGAGCTGGTGTTTGGGAAGTGGGCTGGCGCACTCTGGCTGCTGTCACGTCATGCAGGTGGGTGCTGCACACTGGTGATGGTGGAGGGGAGTCCCCATTACCTGTAAAGTGCAGTGGAGTGTCCAGGAAAGCACTATATAAGTATAAGGAATTATTATTAAAAACAGACCATGTTCAATAAAGTACAGTTAATTCACACTGCTGTGCTGAACAACTGGAGTGTACCAGCACTAAAACATCGTGCTGGTAACCTTTAAATAAATGAAGACTTTAAACTTTGAATTCTCTTAACCTTTTAAAAAATAACCATATTTAATGGTCAATAAGGAACTGCACACTGGCCGAACAGTATTTGTGTGCTTGATGAAATAATTGCACTTAATGCGGTAACTAGCGCCTTTGTTAAGGCACGAATTGGTCCAAAATAACACCTACACAAAGTAGAGCTCATTGCATCATCTCCGAGATGTTCTATGACCCTAGAAAGGGCAACAATCCCGATTCTCTTGGAGTGCACTCTCGCAACTAGCAGGAGATCAGCCAAGGCGTGTGCTTCCCCGCAAACTCTTCCCCTACGTCCCTTCCGCTTCCTGTGAGCGGCCCCGCTTGCTCATGCACACACGTGAAGGTCAGGAACCGCGATCGCTGAGCGCCTGGGCAAGTTATCCGTCTTGCGTCTGGGACATGAGCGGGTCATTACAGTTTATTTTAATTCGCAACAGAAGCTAAAAGTGAGGAATCCGTCGAGTGTGAAATGGAAGGACAAGGAGTGACGGCGGACCCTCAGCTCCAGCAGTTCATTGAAGTGGAGTCTCAGAAACAGAGGTTTCAGCAGCTGGTTCACCAGATGACAGAAGTGTGCTGGGTAGGTCGATGTGGAGCGATACTATGTCATAATTGTACCTTTTTTTTTTTACAAGAAAATGCAAAGTCCCCTTACGCAAGGGAAACTTCAGCTCGCGTGCCTTATTGAAACACGGTGTTTATTTTTTGTTCAACAAAAACCGGAGTAGCCGATACACGTCTCTTGTTCCGAGTTCTTAGGATTTTATAGAACCAGATCTAATGAATGAACAACGATCCATAAACACACAAATAATAACGCATAGTTATATATATGTATTCCTTCTCCTTCTGAGAAGAAATAAATACTGTAAACATTTTCTTCGTCCGTTTTCTTGAACGGATTAACTCGGTTGAAGCCGAAAAGTCGTTTCGACGAGCTTGTGATCACGTTTGCTTTAACTGGAGCTATATCCCGCGGAGATGAGGCTCGTTTAACCCTGAAGTTCAACTAACCCTTTACTTTTCATTTTACAGCCAGTGGAGAAAAAGACATAAACTGTATTAGACGTAGCCTGGCTTTAAATTTGGTCCTAAAGCTTCTGATGCTAGTATCTTATTACGTTGCTACTGCTGCGTAGCCTGATGTGTGAGGATTTCAGAAACAGACAGGCCGGGCCTGCTCAATACCGGGAGACCTTCGGGAAAGACCAGGTGTGTCTTTACATTGTGTTCTTTGCAGTATGGTGACCAGGGACACTGCACCGTATAAAGTATTGCGCTACAGGTAAGCGGCCAGACTGTCGCTACAGATCCCAGGGCACTGTGGACGAAAGTAGGGTGCTCACCCCCTAGTGTCCTGGCGACGGTCCACTCTGGATGTGATCGGTCTGGTCTTCCTCCATTTTCCTCGCGGGCAGGTGCAGCAGGTTCTCGCTCCTCCAGCTGATGGCTGAAGTGGGTCCCCCTCCACATGTGGGACCCTTCGGGCTGAAAAGCACAGGGTGGACACAGCAGTTCCCGACTTACTGCAAGGGTGAAAGCCCAGGAAGAGCACCGGGTGTTCAGCCCCGTTTGTCACGAGCCGTCACTGAGCTTTCACGAGCGATGCGGGCCTTCAGTGCACAGCAGCGGTGTAGAATTCAATGCTCCTTCTTGATTTCCCATTTACAGGACAAGTGCATGGATAAGCCGGGGCCGAAGCTGGACTCCAGAACAGAGACTTGCTTTGTGAACTGTGTAGAGCGCTTCATCGACACCAGCCAGTTTATCCTGAACAGACTGGAGCAGACCCAGAGGGGCAAGGTGTCCCTCTCGGAGAGCATGTCTGACTGAGCCTCGCGGGGGCACGGAGCCGGGCCTGAGCACAGCGCCACAGACATGGGGGTGCACCCGCGAGGGACTGATGGGGCAGGCCAGGGGCGCGAAGACAAGTACAAATGCCCCTGGACTGCCGGCACCCCCTGCCATGTTGTTTTACCCCAAGGGCTGATTCTGACACCTCCCTCATCTCCCTGGGTTCTAGGAGTCATTAGTGAAAGATTTCAGTTTCGTAAGACTACGGAGTTGCCTTTAATTTGAAATCCCCAAAATGTTTACTACATGCAGAGTAAACCTGTTCAATGTATGTAAGTGAAAGGTAAAACCACCTCTGGTTATGGAAAGGTTGTATTGTGTGCATGGATGAAAACGATGATGAAAAGTATGTTAACTGTTGGTGGCTCAGTCCATTCAAAGCTTTAAAGTGTTTAAATTGAATTTTAGTGTGAACATTCGACAGCGGGAAGCTCTCAAAATACACCTACAGTGTGACATTGTTTGCCCTGTTTCCATTTCAAATATAGAAAACTGAAATCGTACTGCTTGAAGTCAGTTTTTTTAGTTAGGTTTGATTTTTTTTTTAAAGTAACGTTCGTGCTGAATTCCTTGTTAAGCCATTCAGTGAGGTTTTTAGGATGTGAACTATGTTAATTTGAGTGAGAAAACAGACTCTATTGTGCTTTTTAGCCACTAAACAATCTAAGGCACCTCTTGCATAAAATTAACTAACAAAACACATACTGTATAAAGAAAAACTAATCATAGCTGAATTGCAGTTAAACAGCTTTCAGTTTTTATTAAAATCCTAAACTCTTATTTACAATAACAAGGTATCAAAAATTAAAGATTGTTTTTTAGAAAGGAACAATAAATATACACATTTGATTTATGACACCAAAGATTACAAGTGTGCTAAGCCATTACGCTTGTTAATACTGTAGTTTTCACGTATATAGCATTTGGGAACGGAGGAGATCAGTCCACCTGTCACATGTAAACAACCATACAGCTTCTCCAGAAAGCCACTGTAATTACACTTCTCCATGAAATCTCCTCCGGCCTCCAGCCAGACAAACTGCACACTGAGTAAAAGTGGAAGAATCTGTGCAGTGTGGAAAATCAACCCGTGGAACCTGTCCCTGCCACCAGTGAAAGGCACGAGGTGGTACACATGACCCCTGAATAGACGTGTACAATAACCTGGCTACTAGTCTCCAGTACTGCAGTTCATTGAATTACAGAATTCTCCAGAATTACGGCAATCCTACAGAAGTACTGAGAGTTGTGCAATTCAGAATTATACTAATTACTTATACTGTATAAACATATAAACGTGTATGAAATGATTGACACAAATGAATAATACTATATTAACCGTGTTCAACTTTCTGGACCTCAAGTTGTTAATTGCACCACTGGTAAAAATACATTTAAAAAGGCACCTATTCACGTGACAGTTAGTGAAAAAAGTTACTCTAGTGTTTTGTAGCTAAGCATTAACTTCAGCACAGAAAATTAAATTCTCTCAATTACAGTTTCCTAGACCTACATAGATCCTACTGTAAACCTTGGGATCAATAAGAACAAAAGACACTTAAAAAAGCCAGTGAGCTAATGAGCACAGTGCTGTGTGACGTGTCAGTCCTCTCCCCATTTTTATGCATCCTCCCATTTCAGTGCCACATGTTCTGCAAAGAATGGGAACAGAACTAGTTTTAATAGTGCAGACCTGTCAACCAGAGCCAGCGGCAAAGGAGAAGAGTTAAAAAAGATGATTCATGGGGAGTAAAAACGAAAGGAAAAGGAACAAGGATGGCAGTATGAAGTCCTGTGAAACAAGAGGGACTTTTGTGAGAGTAGTCATTTGCAGAGAGAGGGGGTTTTGCTTCCTTTTGGACGAGTACTGTATTTTAAAATATTTTAGAAGGATACTTCCTAGAAGGCACGGTATCCTTCCCAGATTCCGTTCTAAAAATATCTTCAAGACCCCGAATTATTATAAAACAACAACAACAGATGGGTGTTAAAAGGATCTGGCTCCACTGTTAGGTGACCGTGACGCTGCTGCTTCTCCTGGCTGCGCTGTCAGGAGAATGCCTCTTACTGCCTCCCTCCCTCAAAGGCTGTCCCCCAGGCGTTTCCGCCTCCTGGCTGGGCACGGGAATATAGGGCTGGCCCCAGGGGGCCCCTCTCTGGCCCCTGCGGAGGAAGAGTGGGAGGGCGTCCCAGGTGAAACTGACGTCCTTGAAGGCGTGGAGGAGAAAGATGCCCACGATGATGGTGAGGAAGCCGCTGATCGTGCCCAAGATGCCGTCCGCGGACATTTGGAACCACTCCTTGAAGAGGATGGCGGAGCAGGCCATGACCGCGGTAGTGAAAAAGACGTAGTAGATGGGAGTGACGATGGACGTGTTGAAGATGTCCAGCGCCTTGTTCAGGTAGTTGATCTGCGTGCTGATGCAGGCCACCAGACACACCAGCAGCGCCCAGAACAGGGGCTCCTTCAGCACCGGCTTCCCCGCGAACAGCTCCTTCGCGCCGATCCCCAGCCCCTTCACACAGGACACGGAGAGGGAGCCGATCGCCGAACAGATGAAGATGTAGACCAGCACATTCTTCTGGCCGTAGCGCGGGGCCACGATGAAGATCAGGACCAGGCTGCTCACAACGACGCACGCGGCGAACACAATGAAACCTGCAACAGGCAGAAGACAGCAGTTCTGTTAAAGTGAATAATCTGAAAGAAAGAAATCGGGCGCTCGCTCGGCAGCGATCACAGCTTTCAACATCCAGCTTTTTGCATCCCACTTCAGCTTTCATCGCCGGCGTCTTCCTGTGGCTCAAGCCAAAACCAGACAGGGCTGTGATCACTGACCACTGCCGGTCACTTAAATCACAAACTTCAAACTTAATTTCAGCCCAGTGAATTCCGGAGGGCACATTCACCCCCGAGAGACTGTGCAGGTGTGTGACGTACCGGGATCTTTCAGCTTTTCCGCCATGGAGCTCAGGGAGTCCACTTCCTCCTCCTGTGGGGCATGGATGACCATCACGGTGGAGCCCAGGATGCACAGCAGACACCCGATCTTCCCGTGAACATTCAACCGCTCGTTGAGGAAATAGGAGGACAGCACAGCGCTGAGGAAACAGGAAGGGTGAGAGGGAGCTCTTGGACAAAAATGAAAAATGAAAGTGCTAGCACCTGTCAGAAATGTAACAATCTTTCTTGCATATCTGTATGTTATTAAGAACACAGGTCTTTTTGTGATGTGTTGTAAGTGACCCTTATTAGGATGGTTTGATGGAAGGTACCAAGACCATACTTGAAACAAATATCGGAAAAAAGACTTTTTTTTTTATCCAAGCGATTTACCACTGTTTTCATCAAAATGGCACACGGGTAAAAAAAATACACAGAGAAATCAAACAGCTTTTGCAGACTGAGCTCGTGTGTGTGTCCTGACTCACCTCACCAGGACGCTCAGGGCTCCCAGCGGCGTAACGAGCGTGGCCGGCGCAAAAGCGTAGGCCGCAAAATTCGCAGCCTCTCCCACCCCCACTGCAACACAAGAGGGCAGAGCGGGTCAGGAGGCACGCCAGGGCTTCTGCCATGAACACACTTTTGTTTTCAATCACAGTACTTTCTTTCAGAGGGTTTGGGCCTCCAGTCTCTGGCAGAACATGTGTCTCAAAGATTTCCAGATTAAAACAACGTACAGGTGAGCTGCAACGTCATGACCCGTTCATAAAAAAATGAAACACACCCGAGTATCTGGACATAACGCGCAGCACAGAGCAATGTGAGAGGAGAAGAGAGACGAAAATGGCAGAGAACCGAAGAGCCAGAATGGTTCTGATCTGGACATCCCTCCGGGTTGTCAAAGCACCACAGACCACCACTGGGTCAAGCGCTGGTTTAAACAAAACAAAGGCATGATCTTGGAAAGAAGTCTCTGCTGCTCAGACACGTCTTTCCGTAGCTCTTATTACAGTAAATCATAGTGGAAATGACATTCCTGAATGCTTTTGAAGAGTCTCGAAAATAAACTGTAGGACTTGTAGAACCCAAAAGGACACAGACTTCACGACTTACTTGAAATAAGTCCTGCCCACCACAGCCACTCCTTGAGGTAGGCGTGTCCTCCTTGGCCTGCACAGGGAAGGACAAAACAAAATGCCTTCATCTCCCAGTGTCTCCCGCTGAACTGCAGCTTATCACCACTGACAGCATCAGTAGCAGGAGTACAGGTATGTTTCCTTCAACACTTGTTTTAGCTCATGTCCAATACACCGACTGAACCAGTTTTTCAACGCAATCTGGTTTTCTGTGACAGGTACAAACAACAAAACTGGGAAACAAGTTCTCCAGCATCAACCGAAGAAACTCACAAGTGGGAAAAGACATTCCATTCCAACAATAGTACGCCATATTTAAACACAAACACACTGCAAAGTGAACATCTTCCTAATTAAATAAGATTTCATATTATCAACAATGTGAAATTTTAAAGAGATGCAAGAATGTCTCACATTTTCCCAAGATATGATGTAAATGGGTGCGACGTATGCTGTAACTCTTCCTGACCAGGTCACAGAAGGAAGTGACAATGACAAGATGACAGAAATGATACACGGTGAAAACACAACAGTCTAAGTTTCACATCAATGGTTCACTTCCCATTCAGGTACTGCTGTTTGCGTTTTACAGTGTGAGCAGTTACATTTGCTGGTTGTCTGAGTAGTGTACTGTGCCTTGGGATAACAAAACACTCTGCTCAAGTCATGTGATTGGTATTTGAGTTATTTTCGGAAAAAAACTACTTTAAAACTGGGCTCTATTAAACAGCCTGGAGAAACTGAAACAAAAGTTACACAAGGCACAGAGATTACAACGACGAATCATGCGATCTAACAGTAAAGTCGACAGTAAACGCAAGGACAGTGAGTCCCGATAAGGTAAGACACAGTCGCAGTGTGGACACGTACCCGCTCGCATTGACCCCTTACTGGCCAACCGGAGGAGCCCCTTCTTCTTCAGAATGAAACTGCCCCCAATAAAGACACTGGAGCAGATGGCCAGGGAGAGGCCGATGTAGAAATTCACTCGGCTCGCAGCATCGATATCCATCTGTTGACAAATGATTCAAGAAAGTCTGATACTGGAGAGAAATCACAGCTGAGCTGAGATTTAAAAAGAAAGAGAGAGAGAGAGACGCCTCGATCTAAAACTCAACAGCTCAGGTATGACTGTTTCGTATTACATTTCGTTTTACTGAAACCTATCTGGAGATTGAATGCAGCGTCGTTGAAACAGGTCAAAGTCAGTATCTGCTCGTTTGTTGAGGGTGAGGTTGAGGTTTTTTTTTCTAAAAAGCAATCCGTTAATTCAGTTCTTACTGTAGCTATAATTCAATTTTCCAAGACGTTTATGTGATGTCATGGGACAGCTTTGTCATAAAACAATAAGTTATTTGTAGAACATGTACATAATTCAATTAAACCTATTCTGTAATAGGGAAAAAAACAGGAATTTACCTTGCAATCGTGCCCATAGACGCCTGATACAGAGCTCTGTCACAGGCCGGGGAAACCGCAACTTCCTCCATCAACCCGTCCTCTCCGTCTGCAGGTCCCCCAGCTCCGGCTGCCCGGAACCTTTCTTTCTCCTCTTCTGCCGCGAAGCACCGTTTTGAGCTTTCTTCTATTTTAATTAAGTAATATTATCGCTGAAGACACCGGAATCCGTAAGGCAAAAGGCGTTTAACCGAACTGTTGACTTAGTGAATGTGAGCCGTATTAAAACGACGAGAGCAAGGCGGACCCTTTGGAGAGCGGGAGTTGTTGTTTATAGGTAGTCTTTTCAAGAGAGTATCCGGTTGTGTTGTTGTGGAGGAGGAGGTACAGTTGTTGTTGGTAAGTTCAGTACGTATTTCTTGCGGGATACAGTAAGATTATATTTATGATTTTATTTTGCTGCCTCTAACTATATGTAACATTATTTTAATAGGAGCCAGGGTGGTGCCGTTTATATAGTTTGTTTTTTAGTTTACTTTATTCCCTGCACTATTTTTGAAAATTTGCATCAAAATCAATGTTAGTTGAAGCACAAACAATAAACAACGATATCTCATATCTCCTAATCGCATCTTTCTCTGCGTAATAAAAATATCAATTTTCTTTACAGAGGACGTCGTATAACGCAAGTGTTTATGCAGAATAAGAAGATCAAAATGACTTCCAAAGCAAAAGGTTCGACATTTCTTTCTGTGCACTTCGTTTACCTGTACATATTTATATCCGGATTTATTTAAATTTCGCTTAGATGGTGATGCTTAGTTAAGTCGATTTCATTACAAAAAGACGCCCTTAACTGTTGATGTCTTGATTTGTTCTCCTCCAGTGGGAAAGGCAGGCTCCAAAAACAAAGACGACGCGCCTCATGAGCTGGAGAGCCAGTTCATACTGCGGCTGCCCCCGGTACGGAACCTGAACCTCTCCGAGATCGGAGATGCCGAAATCGACCTCATGTAGTTTCCATTGAAACGTCCTCCTGTTTTTTTTTTTTTTTTTTCATGTAGGAATACGCCTCCACGGTTCGGAGAGTAGTGCAGTCTGGTAGCGTCAATCTGAAAGACAGACTCACCATTGAACTGCACGGTTCGTACCCTGGAAGAGTTCCTCGATTGCTCAGATATTACGGGACTTAATCACTAATAACCGCATGTCTGGATGTTGCACTGGCTTCATCGTTCACTGGATCGCAACAAACAAACTGGGTCGAGATACAGACGGAATAATCTGGCATATTCGACCATTTTCTAGACCCGATTTAAGGGCTAAAAAAAACAACACCGAAATGACAGTTGTAATACATGTGTCCCTCTACGGCGTCCTTATTATATTAATAGTTCTTACAGTTAGGTAACTTGATATCTAGGTCAATTTCAGGTGTTAAGACACCATACTGTATGTACTTAAAGAATCCTACACCAGCTCCTGAAAATGTAAAGCTTGTTCTTATGTTATGGTGGTCATTTTATGAAGTCTTATTTCTTTCCCAGTTATGATCAGTTGAGTTTGTGTTAGAGAATGCATTTCTCTGAAGTTACAACAGCTTCAACAGTTGTGGCCATGTGCTTTCACGCATGATCTCAAAACGAATGACCCCTCTGTGCAGCTGACGGGCGCCATGGGATCGTGAGAGTGGATCGCGTTCCTCTGGCCTGCAAGCTGGTGGACCTCCCCTGCATTATAGAGTCTCTGAAGACAGTGGATAAGAAAACCTTTTATAAGACTGCAGATGTTTGTCAGGTAAGAACGAAACATTCAAAGGCATACTGTGAAAATTCATGTCTAGTTTTAAAATGTACACTTACTTTGATGCAATTAAGTTTTAAACTAAATTTCAATTTTATTAGGCTATATGCACAGTATTATTTTGGATCTGTTTTCCCTTATTTAAGTGTGATTGATTTTATTTGTTCTCCAATGTTTAATTGTAATTTTTCTGTAGCATTTTTTCACAAATCCTGGGAAGTAGTCCCTTCCTAGTTATCTATCTAGTTATTCAGTTATGAGTGGCTGACGCTCTTTGTGTTGAGCTGTTCCAATGAATATTGTATGTACACAGATGCTGGTGTGCACAGTGGATGGAGACCTGTACCCCCCTCTAGAGGAACCCACAGGAACTACAGAGCCCAAGAACAAGAAGAAAGACAAAGATAAAGACAAGAAGTTTATATGGAACCATGGCAGTGAGTATCCACCCTGCTCGCCTCGTTGCTTTAAAACGTGTTGTTCCTTGTTTTTTCAGAGGCAGTATTATAATGAGCCTGGTAACAAAATAGAGTTTAAATACTTTGAAATTAAGTTTCAAATACGAGACTTAAGATGTACTGTAGCAAGGCAGTATTTTTTCTTTCGTTAGCAGTAGTTCTTCTGTGGGTTTATGCAGGTAGGTGGATGTGTTTGCGCTGAGCCTTTTCAGAGCTTCCTGAAGATTTTCAAGTGACTGTGAACGGCTGTGTCCATATGAACAATAATAGTCGTCTTTGGTTTTACTGTCTAGTCACTCATCCCTTGAAAAACACCAGGAAGAGAAGATTCAGGAAAACTGCTAAGAAAAAGGTAAAATTTAATGTAAAATACCCCCAAAATCTTAAAGCTATGTCAAGACTATACCCATGTTGTAGGTATATTGAGAGGCTCTTGAGATATTTGTTCTCTGGTATAGATTTTATGAAAAGTGTAATAAATCAGGCACACTGGAATAATCAAATATGTATTAATGATGGCAATAACACACTAAGAACACGCAACACAAAATGCAACATACACTTTACTCTATTTACAAACAAGGTGTATCGAAGGCCTTCATCCTGACCAGCCAAAAGAACTGCCAAATATTCAAATCCTGTATAATGTCTAACAGGCCAAAAAGAGATATAAACCCGTCCTCTTAATCAAACAGAATATGACCTACAGTTAAATCTATATCTTTGTAACTCTGGATAATACAAATTTAATGGGAGCCTGAAGTAAATACATCCACTCACCAGGAGAAACTGTACAGAGGGATTCTCTGTACAGGAAATTCATGTTGAATGGTCAGCTCTCTCAACAAGGTTCAGATATGTAACTCAATCCTGGTTTTAAAGTCTCATCGGGACAAGGGCCTCCTGGCTGGCACTGTCTTCTTCTCCCAACGTGGGTTTTTCCGTCTCTCCTCTCTCCATTCCCTTTTCTGTACTCTGTTTTTATCCTCTTTTCCTGCACATTTGATGACTCTTAATGATTTACCCAGAATTTAATTAACCAAGGTAAACCTTACGATTCCTTTGATCAGTGCGTCTCAGAACTTCTACAATACAGTAAACACCTCAGCCCCTTTCTTGCTTTGAATCTCTCCTGAACTGCAAATGCTGACATTAGCTGGATGTTGACCATTGTCTCTAAATTCTTTTAATTGCCACTTCCAATAACTAGCAATATAAATAAAGCCCCCTGTTTTATATTGGCACAAGATGCATAAGGGAACCAGGGGGTATTTCGACTGATAGAACCAAGAAAGAAAGAGATTTTAATTTCTCTTCAAATAAATCTCTTTTAAGATGTACTGAGGTCTTGTGATTTTGTCTTCTATTATCTCTAATGCATTTCCTTGCTCGTTTCCAGATGGTACTATTAGTGGCAAATGTACTGTGTCTCTGAACATTTCCAGAGAGGCTGTTTAATGTGAGTTCTCAACTGTCTTAACACGGCGTGATTCATTTTACAGTACATTGAGTCTCCAGACGTGGAGAAGGAAGTGAAAAGGCTGCTCAGTACAGACGCCGAAGCTGTCAGTGTCCGTATCCTTTTCTTTGAGCGCCGCGTTTCAGTTTCCTTACATATGTCTTCAGCTGTTTCCCATCTCAGCTGAAGGCGGCTTCAGAATAATTCCAGTGTGGTAAAAAAAAAGACAAATCTGTCTTTGTCGTGGAGGCTTTGTAACATACCTAGCTAATAAAAACAGCTCAGAATTCTGTGATGACACAGCGGTGCCCAATGGCCCCATGGTACAGAGCTTTGCAGATGTCTGCTGCGTTTCCTTTGACCTTGCTGGCCACAGGGTGGGAGGTGATTGCAGAGGACGAGACCAAGGAGGCCGATAACCACGGGTCCCTGGCGAACCTGGACTCCTCTCCGGGCACATCGGGGCACAAGCTCGGCCATGGCTCCTCAGGTAGGGGCGCCGTGGTGCACCCAGGAACACGCACGTGCTGCTCGGTGACACTGTTGATTAAGGCACAGAGACACGGTGAGAAAAAAAACAGTACGGCACATCCACTGCAGGCCTCTTTGAATTACTCAAGACAACGCGATCGGCTGTGTTGGTGCAGAGCCTGGGAGAAGGAGGACTCAAGCAGAGCACAGAGCCCTACAGTGTAGAGGGCATAGTGTTTAAAATACATGGACAGCCCCCTGTAGAGTCTTAGAGTCATAGTCTGCTCTTATCTCCGGTGAGCTCTGTCAGAAATGAAGGTCTCAAAAACCGATAACAGTCTGCAAGTGTGTTGACTTGCCGCAGCGAGTCTGCTGCTCTGCGAGTCGACCCAGCGAGCCAACGGCCGGGTCTGTGTCTGCAGTGCAAAGAGACGAGCTGCGGGAGATCTTCAATGACATCAGCAGCAGCAGCGAGGAGGAGGAGGACGAGGGCGACCGGCACGAGGACGAGGACCTGAACATCATGGACACGGAGGAGGACCTGGAGCGGCAGCTGCGGGAGAAGCTGAACGAGTCCGACGGCCCGCGGGACGAGAGCGACGCCAACAGCCAGATCGGTGAGCGCGCCGTGTGGGCCGGCGGGTCTAAAACCGCATCCAGGCGGAATGAATAGCTCACGCTGTGAATAGTCGTGAGGGAGTTTTTTTTTCTTTGAAGTGCGTGTAAGCCCTGTGAAATAAATAGTTTTGATTGTTTTAGGTCAAGAGACGCGCTGTTCCACACGAGGGCAATAGAGTATCGAACAGATTAGCCCGAGGGGCTGTCGGAGCGGCGTACCAGCTCCTCCCCGCTCGGCACAGGCCCAAGCAGAGCGAAGAGCTAGAAGCTCCCGGCCAGAAACCCGCGGGCAGCTGAGTGCACAGGAGGCCTGCTCCTCGCTTTTCCTCTGGGGCTCCCCTGGTTAAAGTAAAGGGGTGGAACAGGAGTATTAATCATGCTTTCCATTTGAGTAGCAGTGTGTCGTGTCGGCGAGGATGACAAACTAAAAATCTAACTCCCTTTCGTCGCGTCATTGGATCCATGCAGTAGCTGCTTATAAAAGCAGTCAGCAAGTATAAGCTTTTTTTTCCACGATATAAAATTTGTATGTTAAATATAAATATAATATAAAGTCTAATGTAAGCCCGAAGTCGTTTATAAGAGCCACACTGATTTTAGTAAGAGGAGGAGTAAATATACTCAAAATACATCTCATTATTTTTTAACTGGATGTAAGTACATTTACTTGTCGGGCCCAGTTATTACTTTAATTCGCCCTGTGGTTTGTGCAATCCTGTCTAAAGGAAACTGTTCCTACGACCATTTTGCCAGGCTTTGCTGCAAGTGTTTAGGGGGACCAGTATTTCCTCTGGGATGCTTCAAAATAGCAAGTGCTGTATAATTCTATTGCACGGTCTTTCTCCACATACTCTGTCGTGGTGTTGCAGTAGGCTGTGTGTTGTCAAGCACATCCTCTTGTTTCCTGCAGTCATGGAGTACCAGGTTCAGATCAACAGTGTGAAGGCAAAGCTGCAGGAGACCCAGGAGAAGAAGAAACACCAGGAGGAGCTGATCAGAAAGGTGGAGAACCAGGCCCTGAAGGTGAGGCCCCATACATCATGCGCAACTGCTACAGCCCATGGACATGACACAGTGCACAGGACCACTGACGTTTCCAGTGTCTTTGTGTAATGTGGCTTGTGTCACACTGAAACTAGTTCGTGGGAATGTTTTTGAAAAATACTATCTTTGGCATCACCTAAGAAATCTTTCGAATAGTGTGCTGTGAGGTTTTCTTGGACTAACCTTGGAGAATTGATTACGGAAAACAAAACCGCTATTCAGATACTGTTTGTTTTAGACTATTGAGCACCTCCCTGGTGCGAAGGGTTCATGTAGAAGTCTGCACAAGACAGCACATGAAATGTTTATTTTTTCTGTTTCTAGAATTAAAATTTCGCTCTGAAGCCGATGACTATTAAGACGTGTAGGCGTCATATCTGGGAGGCCTTTGTATTTCTAGACACCTGCCCCTCCGTTCGTTACTCTTGTAAGTAATGGAATCTGCCTGCTGTTAATGTTGTTGTTGTTGTTGTTGTTTAGAATCGCTTCCAGACTTTACTGAATGAGATAATCCGCCAAGAAGAACGTCAGCTGGAGCAGGTAAGAAGGAGCTTTAATGGCTTGAAGACTTAACCATTCTAACCATTTATAGCCATTAAATCTTCAGTTTCTCAAGAGCTGGAATTGAGTAGGAATCGATTAGGCGGGGCATCCTTACATTCATTTTGAATAAAAGTCTGAATGCCCTTCATCCCCCCCCAGGACCAAAATGACTCTTAATTGAACAAATCGCTAGATTATTCGCTTGATCTGTAACTTTAGAAGCAGGGGGTTAGGGGTGACAGGATGGGGGCTGGGGCCTCCCCGAGATCAGGGGGAGACTCCTGTTCTCTATCCCCTGCAGTCATCAGGTTCTACAGACGGGCTTCCGGGCATAACTGAAGTGGAATCGACCAGATCTTAAAAAGTGAAGGACGAGGCGCCTTAAGCAGTCTTATCTGTTGTTCCATAAAATACATGTAACCTTGTGCAACAACACCTGATGGAGCTGGGGGACACCTTGGCCTCCTGTCTTCAAGGGCACCTTGCTCTGGTGCTGGAGGGGCCGGCATGTCTGTGGGTTTTCATTCCAGCTGAGCTCTTGATGACAAAATCCATTCATTACTGAACCAATTCTCCAGCACCTTCCAGCTCTTCAGGTGTTGCTTCTTTAAAATATAACTTGAAAAATCTGCAGACAGGTTGGACTACTGTTTTCATGAGAATGCTTACAAAGGTTATCAGAGTGGTGATAGTGACTTAAGCTTATAATTAAAAACAGGTTCTTAAACGTGCCAGATTAATTCGCAGATACCTTATGTGACCTCCACTTCTAACACAGTTACTGTTTTTATCCCAACAGCTGGCCTCTCTGCAGGAACAGCTGGATTCCCTTATTGAGAAGTAACAGCAGATGGCAGTATAAGCAAGTCAAAAGACAGTTTCATCAGGACAAAACAGAGTCCTAAGGACAGTACCTACAGCGCCTTGGTTTATTTCCCAGATATTGTGTTACTGTTCATGCCACAGAGCTGTCAAGGGCTGTAGAATGATATGTGTAAAACATTGCTGTGGTATTGTGCATGTATAGGCTAAAGATGTGGCCATGTTCACTGGTAGACTTTCACATTAGGTGAGACTTTAAAACTGCCTTTTAATGGAGATGTGTAATTGGACAGATTGAACAATACACCTTTAAAGAAATTAAGTTTGTTGATTAATGCCTGTGAGCAGTCATCTTTGTGATGCTGCTCTACTGTGAAGTCCTGCCAATCATAAGACTACTTGAACAGAAGAACAGTGTGGCCGATATGTTTCTGGTTCAGTTTGGATCTGTGTTATGCTTTTACTGCCCACCAGCACTAAGAACTGATTTTCAGCACAGAAACCATATTCTATTCCTACCCATGCCTTTCAGTTTAAGGGCAGTCCTGTTAAACATGGAGTCTTATTGCCTTCTAGGAACACCTCCAGTTTATGATGTGTTAGGTTCAGCCACATTAAATTTTGAAAATAAATACTTATTATTCAAATTTTATAGTGCCAGGTGTGGCAGAACTGTGTGAAGGCTCAGTTGTGTGATGAGAGGTGAAATGGCTGCTAACTTTGACCTTGTACATGCAGAAGGTGGAACTGGAAATCGGTTTAGATGATTCTGTACACCCCAGTGATGTGAAATGTTAAGAGCTATTTTGATATTAATTTCCATTATTACAGTGTATTAATGCACTATATGTCCAGGTTTAATGTTTTTTGTCAGTTTTACACACTTCAGTAAACTTTTATATGATGTAAGATGGTTGTAACAGTGATTAAGCATTCCTTGTAATGTTTTTTTGAATTATGGAAGCCTTCCATATTATCATTTAATAAAGATTATTGGGCCAAAGCCTAATACAATGGACACTTTTTATTTTTTTTTTTTAAGATAAGACTTTAAACTTTATTAGCAGAGGTTAATAGCAATAATAGTGACCCTCGTGTTTGTGAGCTTAACTCTGTGCCCAGTGCCGGACATTAGTCCTAGATCATGTAAGAGCTGAGATCAGTCTAATTGTGGAGATGAAGAAAATTGTTATTGTCAAGGCAGGTGAAAATACAACTGTCTAGCTGTCTGTTGTATAACTGTAATAACATGGGATCGACACGAGAGGGTGCTGAATAGTTCACCCGGTGTGAGTAAATAGTATAATCCGGTAAAAATGCACCATCCCACATGGGTTTAATAGTGGAGCTGGTGGTGTAGGTCACTAGGGAAGTCTGAATATAGTTTGTGGCAGTTGAGGGATGGTAGAAGCCACCCTTCCTAAAGCAGTATTTGTTCATTATTTAGTAGCAGTCTTTTAAATTGTTGAAAACGTTTCATGTGAAAAGGCCAGGAAGCCCCCTGGACTGTAAAATAAAATGCTGGTGTTTTGGAGTGTTTTGGGCATAAAGGTCCCCTGAGCCATTCCAGCAGGAGAGAAGGATTTTTCATGCAACAAACGTTTTAATTTCTTTCTTAAAGAAGGTGCGTTCATGCCGTTACCTTGCACCAGCGCATGCGCAGGTCGCCTGCTGCTTGCTGTCGAAGGATTAGGGAGAAGGTTCTGGGGATTTACTTGACGGATTACAGCGGCCAGCCTGCTAATCCAGCCATCTGTCAGAGAGCAGCCGGGCAGGAGGGAGCACTGCTGGGCTGCGGAGCTGCGCTTGCATCACGGCCTGCTTGCAAGCTCATCGAGAAGGAAAAATCTCCAATAAACAGCTGTTTAGAAGGTCTTCGGTCTCCGAGACCTACTCTTGGAAAATACTTGGATTTTTCTCTCGTATCGCTGCTGAAAGAGGGGGGGACACACAAGGATGGAAGAAATGTACCCCCTGAATGTTGAAGGGGTGAGGAAAAAGATCCTCCACGGAGGTCAGGGTGACCTCCCCAAATTTCGGAACGGAACCAAGGTAAGAGGCAGGGGTCTGTTTTCCCAAATTCTGTTTTTCGTGACCAAAAATCCAACCTGTTTTTATCTTCCTGTCCTATTCTATCTCGGATCCTAATTTAAAAAAATTCCACCTGTAATCCACATAGCGGCTGCTGCCAAATGAATTTCCCTACCCTTTAGCGGAGACGTCTTTTCCAAAATCACAACTGCGCACATTTTCCCCTCCTATTGTTTCTCTAGTGGAGGAAAGGTCTTCATCAAAATATAAGGACATCAACATGGCCCAGTGTCTCAAGATGACAAGCATTGAATGCACTCAAATTCATTTCTACATTCCACAGCTGGGGCCTTTTGTTTGAACTTCTATTATGTGCATTTGGCTGCTGTTCCCTTATGCTGAGACAGGCCCAGAATGGAAATGGCACTGTTTAAGCGGAGTGAAGGTTTGGTAGCATGTCTAATCTGTTACAGAGCAAACTGTTTTGATGGCTCTGAATGGGAGGTAGGCCTTTGCTTTTCCCAAGAGTCCCTGAAGGTGGTGCTGACAGGATCAGCTCCTGTGTGTGACAATCCAATAAAAATATATGGGTTCACATAATCCCTCTTATCTCGGGTGCACTCTCTCTTCTTATTCTCCCCTTCTCTCTCCCTCACTCTTCCCATCTCCAAAGCTGGTGTTCCACTTCCAGACGCTGGCGTGCAATTTCGAGCGGACTGTGATTGACGACAGTCGCCGACAGGGCAAGGCTCCCATGGAGATCATCGTGGGGAAGATGTTCAAGATGGAGATCTGGGAGACTCTGCTCACCTCCATGCGGATTGGAGAGGTGGCAGAGTTCTGGTGTGACACTATAGTAAGTTCCACACTCACAGCCCTAGGTTATAAGCCCCTTTCTTTTGTACTCCTTGCAAAGCCTGACCGAAACCAAATGTTTGGCTGAAAATGTTGACTTTGGTTTTCAATCCCTGGAGTTGGGGGGGGGACAAAGCTTTGTCGAGCCCTGCAGGAATGGTGTGAGACGTCTTCTGCTTGTGTGACACCTAAACACAATCTACAAGAACCATTTCTTCGTTCCCAAATATCAGTTGTTCTTTTGTGAGGAAACACGAAGTAGAACTCAAAACTCAATTTTATTTTATCGGCATTGTTAAGTGTTATCCTGTCTAGGTGTCCCATCTTGTCCAGTGCCCCTGAAGATCTGTCTCCCCTCTGCTCAGCACACAGGACTGTACCCCGTCGTGTCCAGGGGGATCCGCCTGATCGCCGAGGGGAAGGATCCCCTGGAGGGGCAGAGGCACATGTGTGGGCTGGGGAACATGTTCGACTATCACTGCATGGGCTACAAGGACCTGAACGAGCTCATGAAGGAGCCCCAGCCCCTCATCTTCGTCATGGAGCTAATCCAGGTCAGTGACCTTTTTGCACCTTGGATGCTTCTAAAAGAATTCAAGCCTTTGTGATAAGCAAAGGCAAAGGTTTTTCATGCAAATTTATCATGCAGTTAACTATGGTGAGGAACAGAATAGAACAAGGAGATGCTTTACTATGTATCAGTTCATCCTAAACACTCAACCTTTGGCCACTTATCTTGTTGTCCAGGCTAAACCGGCAGAGCCTGGCCTCCATCAATTCTTCCTTAATTCTCTGCCTGGTATCAGCCTGATTGTGGTGGATGAAGTGGGACACTTCCTATGCCTTAACACCTCATAATCCTTTGCCTTCAGAAGCTCTGTGGGAACACAAAGAATGGCTTCGCTTGAGCATTCTCCTGCTCCAGTTGGCTGATCAGCCTTGGCCTCTGTCTCCCCCAGGTGGATGACCCTTTGTCGTACAAGAGGGACTCCTGGGCCATGGACACCGATGAGAAGCTGCAGGCCGTCCCGGCGCTGCACAGCGAGGGAAACGCGCTGGTCAAGCAGAGGCGCTTCCGGGCGGCGGCCAGGAAGTACCAGGAGGCCGTGATCCTGCTGAGGAACGTGCAGGCCAAGGTGCGAGTGCGTGGAGTGGGGAAGCAAGTGCTTTCTGGGCTCGGCTCAGGCTGCGCTCAGTCCCAGGTTACAGGAAGAGTAAGGAGGCTGGGAATGAATATAATATCCAAGTAGATTCATCAAGCGAGCACGTGCCTTTGGATACTATATCCCTACTGTAGCAGAAGTTTCATACCCCCTTCTAAGTTTGCAAACATTATCTGCACAGAGGTGCATCAGTGAGCATTAAAACATCAGCCACAGTTGGCATGCAGAAAGTGATCAGGGATGTGCGCTGTGTTCCCTGCAGGAGAAACCAGGCGAGGAAGAATACCTGAAGCTGGGGAGGCTCATCACGCCTCTGGTGCTGAACTACTGCCAGTGCATGCTGGAACTGGGGGAGTTCTACGAGGTCCTGGAGCACACCACGGAGCTGATCCACAGGCACAAAGGTATCCGGCCCCACTCCAGAGGCACCGGCTCTAGCAGGGAAAACACCGAGCACGCAATCCTGCTTTTCCTCTGATGATTGCAAAGACAGCTACGAACGTTACTTACAAACAGAAGTACTTGCGTCCTGCATAAGCTACGCAAAATAAGGAAAACCTACAGCATGCTGAAGGCCAAAATCGTGTATTTACATTAATATAAAGCAATTAGCCATTTGTAGTTTATATAATAAACATTTTTACATTGTATTATATACAATTTATTAGAATTGCAATTGTGTATTACTGTTTTGCAGTACTGCTGAATACTAAAACAGAGTTATAACAGAAATTCGAGAGGAAGGGTAGATCCTAGTCTTCCTGAAGGTGCTCTCTCTCGTTCTCCTCCCGCCACCCCGTCTACTACCCTGCAGCAGCTCCCTTACTCGGTCCTGGCGGTCTGAGGGGGGGCTCACACACTGAGAGGTAGTTTGGTACACTCTTACACAGGTGCCTTGAGTCAATGTGTAAAGGCTGACAGCTGTGGTTTCTCCCAGTGCTGTCAGAGCCGAGGTGCAGGCTGTTCCAGTGAATAAGACTCGCAGTGGCCCAGCTGAGGCGCGGCAGCGTGATCCTCTTATCTCTGCAGCAGCGAGTCTCCCTCACTGCACTGTTCCCTCACTTGCTCACTATGTCACTATTCCCTCTGCATCTCTCTTAGCCTCTCACTCATCTCCATCAGCTCCAGTCCATTACTGTCATCAGGTCACTTTCGCAGCGGCTGAAGCTCAAATTATTTTTGATTTTGCTGCGATGACTCCGATGCTGTCAAAGGCAGCAGGATTCTTTTTAAAATGTTCAGACGATCAATGATTTAAAGGAAGCATAACAGAAAGTAACATAAATGGAAAAATAAAGGCCTGCTGAAACTCACAGGCCAGCTGTGATTTAAAGAGATTTTTCGTTCTTAAATTCCAAACTCCGCCGTCCTCTTTTTTTTGGTTCAGCTGAATTTTATTGTAGCTGTAACAACTGTAACCTCATTACAGTACATTTGCATTTGTTAAAATATTGTAGTTGATCACTTGATTCTGTGGCATGTATGTTTTTAAAATAAAATAAAAAAATATAAGATGCATTTCCCAGAGGTGTGTGCAGATGAGTTCTCTGAAAAGACAGTGAAAAAGACCATGTTTTAAACCTTATTGAACATGAATGTTCTGGTATTTAAAACCTTGTTTCCATTTTGTAGACTAAACATTTTGCCTCAAAAGAATTGTCTGAAGAACTGCATCTTTTCAATAACATACATTTTTATGAGTTTCTAGGAAGCAAAAATGAGTGCAGTGCTTTGTAAATGTACTTTAAATGATATGAAAGACACAAAAGCAAAACCTGGAGTGGAGAGAGTGAATTGATTGTATGTGATAGGACAGGAGCCGCAGCAGTTTTTAAAAAAATCTCATCTTTTCACAACGTTTTTCTGACAGGCAATGTTAAAGCCTTTTACAAGAGAGCAAAGGCCCACGCAGCTGTGTGGAATGAGAAGGAAGCTCGACAGGACTTCCTGATGGTGGCCAGCCTGGACAGCTCACTCGGCCCCCTCGTGCAGAGAGAGCTCAGGCTCCTGAAGGAGAGGATGGCTGAGAAGTACTGCGAAGAAAAGAAGACCTACTGGGGAATCCTGGGAGACAGGGTGGGGGATGGAGAAGAACAGGAAAAGGAAATCAGCCGGGAAGGAGAAGGAAGACGGGATACAAACGAGGCACAGGACACTCCAGAGAGAAGGAGCCAGCTGGTGGTCACAAGCAAGGGGTGGAGAGCCCATCAGAGCACAGGGCAAGGTCAAGAGCAGCTGCAGAGGACCAGTGAGAGTGGAGCTTCTGGACATGGGGGAAAGGGAAGAGAGGAAATGCTGAGGCTGGTTCCCCTGCTCCACAATGAGGGCAACTACCTAATGAAGGAGAAACGCTTCCCGGAAGCATCTGAGAAGTACAAAGAAGCCATGGACTATGTGAAGTTCATACAGGCCAAGGTGAGCTTGCAGAACCTTGTGCTTCAGTCATGGCTCTGCAAATGTTGAGGGACAGTTAGTGAACAATTGCCAATCATTTCTGCTCCACACAACGTTGCGTTTCATGGTCATCCTGCAGATATAAAGCTGCTTGAAAGGCCCATATGATTTCATCATATAGCTTAGGCTTGTTCATGTCGAGCAGAGACAGTGGTATCTAATACAACCTTTCAAAAATAATTAAATTTGATTAAGAATCATAAGAGTTCTTTAAGGAAGAAATTCAAATTCTGTGTAAAATCCTATCAGGTTTATCATGGCACATATATATATATATGCTTAAATTTACAAATCCTTTCTGAAACATCAAATGCAAAATATCTGGGATGGGACATGATTTTGTATGGGAGTAAAGGCCAAACCTTAAAAAGTAGCATGCACATACAGTAGGTGTACTGTTGTTACTGGCTGTAAGGATCTGACAGCCTTTGTCTGGGCAGGAGGATCCTCAGGAAGAGGACTGGAAGTCTCTGGAGAAGGTGCTGCTCCCCCTGGTGCTCAATTACTGCCAGTGCAAGCTAGAGCTGGAGGAGTACTACGAGGTGCTGGAGCACACTACTGAACTGCTCAAGAGACACAAAGGTACAGCACTACCCCCACTGGGTAAAGCCTACTCAGCTCTGTCTTATTACTGTTACTAATTTGTCTGACACTTTCACGCACCTATTGATACAGCTGGGTATTTAACTGGAGCAATTATGGTGACATAACTTTCCTAAAGGATACAACCAGTGTTGCACCTTTAAACCACACCATTGCTCCACATTGCTGCCCTTTAAAACAATCTGTCATAATTGCTGTGCAAATGTCTGGTTTTTCCCACAATACAGGTATTTCCATACCAGTGGGATAAACATAAATCTCCTAAGACTGTCTGCAGCAGACCCTGCACAAGCTCAATGCAGCGTGCACTGCAGTGTTTGTGCCTGCTCTACTCTGGGCTTGGCATTCTTCTGCATACCATAAGGTAGCTCATTGTATTTTTTGCAGAAGAGCTTTGCTAAGTTTTTGCCTCGGTGCTTCCCTCTCTGCCCTTCAGGCAACGTGAAAGCCTTCTACAAGCGAGCGCGGGCGCACGCGGCTCTCTGCCACGACCAGCAGGCTCGGGGGGACTTCCTGATGGTCTGCAAGCTGGACCCCTCCTTCGCTCCCAGCGTGCGCAGAGAGCTGAAGACGCTGGGGGAGATGATGAGAGCCAGGAGCACCCGGGCGCGGAAGAGCCGCTGGAGAGGTGCAGAGGACAAGCAGCGGCAGCAGGAGGGGCTGCTGGGAGACGAGCACGGGGCGGAGCGGGACAGCTGGGGGCCAGGCCTCAGCTCTGAGGCCTGTAGAGCTCCGGCAACAGGAAGAATTAAAGGCGACGGGAATGAAGAGGAGGTGCAGAACCAGTGCTCAGAGTTGGGAATCAAAGAAAGTCTTGGGAGAGCAAATACAGAGGACCATGCAGTTGGAGGTAAGGAGCACAGTAAAGTCTGGGGTGC